CTGGGACACAGAGCCATGCAGGCATGACAAATCGCCATCCAGTTCAGTGTTACCTCTTCACTGCCACAGTCAGTGCACAGGTGATCTGTGTGCAAATGTCTTGCAAGGTTCCAAGCAGGAGGAGGTCAAAGGAAGCTGTGCCTTGGCTCTGTCTCGTGCTATGGTGAGCATCTCCCCAGAGAGTGGGCTCTCGGCAAGTGTGGCCCACGTCCCTGACCCAGGCTATTGTGCTGCTAGCTGACATTACGGAATCAGGGACAGAAAGACAATCTTGGCCACCCCCAGGGTGCCAGAACTCTGACCAAGTGATATTATCATTGGTTCCCTTCTCCCGTTTGCACCTCTACTCTCCTGCAGCAGCAAGATTCCCTTAGAAGAGTAAATCTGTTTTGTCAATAATTCTATCTTCCAAGCACACAGGCTAATCATCTACTAAATGCTTGAAAGCAATGCATGGGGTTTTGCTTTCACATGCCCATTCCAAGCTTCAGTTCACTCAGTTTCCAGACTGTCCCATAACCAGATTAACCTAATGTGCAAACACATTCCCAAACAGCCTCCCAAAAATATTATTACCAACAGACTGGGAATGACGCAAATGCAGGCCATCTACATAAGTGAAACAAGTTGAGCTAAAGGGATCACTTGTATGACTAAAACCACAGAGGTGGCTACACACACAGGGGCTGGACTCAAAACTGCAGGCTTCAGCAATTCAATTCATCTTTTCAGAAATCTCTTTTGAGATTCAAGTTCTCTCTTGACCCAGGCCTTGGCTAGGTTCAACATTTTCACTTCAGGAGTCCCACAGGTCTGTGCGCCACTACACATGCACACACACACAGTAAAGCCACTGCCCTCTCCCAGTCTCTCCTCTTATTTGGTAGCCTTCATTGGCACAATTAGGAGGACACTAGGGACCATTCAGTTCCATGTATTTATATGGGCAATGAGTTAATAATTTTTAATTTATCTCCCACACTTCCCCAGAGAAAGAAACTTGAGTAAGGGGAGCTGTGATCTTAGATTAACAACTCTATGGTAGGTTATGGGTAATAAGAGAACAAGGAGTGAACACGAAGAAGGCACCAAGCCATCAGTCTGCAACCACCTGCTGAAGGGAATTTTTCTTTCAGCCAGATCCAAGATTAGCAGACGCACTGCCGTCAAGGCCTCTCCTACCCTGCAACTACTATCAGCTGGCCTGTCACTCCCACTAACTGACTGGTGATTGAAAGCATCTTAAACTGCCCCTCACCAAGTCTGCTGCCTTGGAGAAAATACAGCTGCCCACCTCAACATCCAGTGCCCACCTTCCCATTCAGCCAACCCAAGAGGTGAGACACGGCTATCAGAGCTTTCCAGTCAGTGCTGACTCAGCTGTACCCTGCAAGAAGTAATCTGTCCTTTGTAGTTTACCAAATCTGTCGCTACGAGAGTCAAAAGGAACGGGTCATGGCTGTGATTCTCCCATTTGTTGTGTGAACATCAGTGAGGCACCCCTCTTCTGTTTCTTCACTTGCAAACTCGGAAGTTGAACTAGCAGGCCTCCAGAAGACCTATGCAATCACCTACTGGTTGCCCTTCCACACCCTCTACAGGCAGTTGTGGAGGAGTCAGGGTGAGGGGTTGGGTGGGAGGAGGTGGCTGGGCATCTCATTTTTTTTTTTTATACTCAGCTTCTGCATGGGAAAGTAAAGCACATAACACTTAGAACTCAACAGACTTTAGCCCTCGGGGCTGAGGGGAAGGGGGCCTCAAATAACCCACTGCCCCATGCCATGCCCTCAGGAAGATGATATAATATCATTCCCATCAGGAAGTAGGACTACTATGATTCAGAAAGGCTAAGTGACAGGAACAAAGTTCCCTGCTGCCCTAATGAGGGATAAGAGGATTAGAAGCCAAATTTTCCATTTCTTCACACTCATCCTCACCCTGCTGCCCATACCACCACAGCTGTGACAAGTGGGTACTTTTTCAGGCGTTAGCTGAAGCTTCACAAGAAATGACCAAATGTAAAAGTCAAGACCAGGGACACATATTTGGCACAATGATTAACCTACTTGGGAGGCCTGTATTCCATATTGGAGTACCTGGTTCGAGCCCTGGTTCCTTCATTTCTGATCCAATTTTCTACTAGTGTGTACTCTGAAAGGCAACAGGTGATGGCATACATAATTGAGTCCCTGCCTCCCAGGTGGCAGACCTGGACTGAAGCTGATATCCTCCCTTCAGTATGAACCAGCCCTGGCTGTTGCAGGCATTTGGGGAGTGAACCCGTGAATGGAATATCTCTTTCTGCCTTTCAAATAAAATGTAAATAAAATTTTAAAATCAAGTCTTTATAGAAGTAAATCCCAGTGATAATCTCCTAATAGTTACATTATTATTTTGGAATAAGAGGTGTTAAGAAGTAATTTGATATTAAGCCCATTGCCAGTGAGGCAGCTACAGACAGTGAATATTTTGCAGGTACCAATCTATTTCATGTCTACATATCAGAAAGCACCATCAAAGGCACTCACAGGAACTCAGTCTGGGTCTTCCATGTGGATAGCAGGCACCCAATTACTTGAATATCACCTGCTATCTCTCAAGGTGTGCATTAGCAGACAGTTGGAATGAGGAACAAAACGTGACTCAAAACCAGGCACTCCTATTTGAGATGCAGGAATTTCAGCAGGCATCTTACTGAGACAAACGCCTACCCATCAGTGATTTTTCAGTTAGTATTCGAAAAGGAGTTTATTCATGTCTTATTTATTTGGAAGACAAAATGGCAAAGAGAATGACCATCAACTGTTCACACTTTCAAAGATTTATTATTTTTTTTTTTATTGGAAAGGCAGATTTACAGAGAGAAAGAGAGACAGATCTTCTACCCACTGGTTCACTCCCCAAATGGTTGCAATGGCCGGAGCTGAACTAATCTGAAGCCAGAGCCAGGAGCCTCTTTCAGGTCTCTTACACAGGTGCAGAGTCCCACGGCTTTGGATCATTCTCTACTGCCTTCCCAGGCCACAAGCAGAGAGTTTGAAGTAAGGCCGTCACAGCCCAAACCGGTGTCCATATAGAATCCTGGTGCTTGCAAGGCGAGGACTTAGCCACTAGGCTATCGTGCCAGGACAAATTGGTTCACTCTTCAAAAGCCTGCAACAGCCAGAGCTGTCTGAAGTTAAAACCAGAAGCCAAGAACTCCTTCTGGGTCTTCCCTGTGGGTGGCTGGGACTCCAGACATAAACCACATCAGCTGCAGCTTCCCAGGTAATCAGCAGGAAGCTAAACCAGAAGCAGAGGAAGGACTCAACCCAAAACACTCTGACCCTATGGGCTATGAGCACACCAAGAGACAACCTGACTTGCTGCATCACAAAACCAGCCAGTCAAATTTCACTTCTTCAGATTGAGATAATTTATTTGAATTACCTAAGCTATAAAAGTCATATTTTCTTAACAAAATTTTTCAGAAATGTGCTCACAGAGAAAAAAGTCATTCCTCATTTGTACTTAAATTCACATTTAAAAATCTCAATACTCACTTTAGAGAGGATTCTGCTCTTGTGAATGATCACTGTTGTCTCATTCAATCCCCCTACAATATCCACATGAGCCACCAGAGAGTAAGCATTTAGGATTTTGAGTTTTATTGAAACATACACACACATGAGTGCGCACATGTAAGGATGGCTCTGAATCTAGACCAGCTGAGCACCACACTGTCTCCTTCCTGCTCTGCATTTAGCAGCATTTTGTGGGAGGAGCTGTTCTTCACTGAATCATGTTGGGATAGCTTGCTTCATTCTCCCAGAGAAAATGACTGGCATCCTTCCCTGCCACAGGCACTGATCCAAAGGCAAAGGCACCATTCAGCCACCAGCAAGACAGACATAGAGTAGATCTTGGTGCCCTGTCAATGAGCACCCTGTGCCTCACAACTGGCCAAGGCTGAGCCGACATGCCCTCAACCCTGACACTGTGTCTTGTCTCACAGCTTGGCCTCCCAGTGGTGTCCGAGATCACGAACCCAGCTGATACAGCCAGACACACCCTTGGGACGCTCTGCATACTGGGGCAGACGGAACCCATGTCTGACTGAGGTTGAAGAATTTCCAAAAGAACTGCTCCCTCTTGATCCACCACAGTGTCAGCTAGCAGCAGGAAAGAGTAAGAACTACTACCACAGAACACAAACCAGATAAGAATCTGACACTTTCCCTTTGCAATAACTTGACATCCTTGCCTCCTCAAAGCACAAATACACTTTAACCAGCCCAGCAGCCCCTTCCTGCCACAAAGTGTCCCAGGCACCCATTTACACAAAAACTGTTAGAGCATGTTCTAGTTCCAACACATTCACGGCATGTTTATCTTCCTTTAATTCCTTCCGTTGCCTGCAGGATTAACAATCCACAGCAGTGTAATCCAAAACCAACACTTCTGCTCTGAGCCACAAGCTGCAGCCTGCCTATCTCACCAAATGGTTACCTTCCAAACTCACTTGAGCAATGAAATAAATCATGCCAACATTTACAAAAATAAACACATAAGGCAAACTTGGAGGAAAATAGCATTCACGTTATTAGGAGGTAATTGCTTATGAAACAGGCAAAGGTCAACAACAGATTTTTTTTAAATCCCCATAATTAGAATAATCAATAGCTAGACATTCCACAGCTGAAAACCAAATGGGAGATTCACCAATGCCATGGCCATGCATTCCTGCTTCAGCAGCCCCATCTCCCCTGAGCCAGTGGCTTGCCTTCCGTGTGGAGGAAGAGGAAGCCTCTGGTCTCTTTCATATCCATTCAGTGACATGCACGGCCTCTGAGCCTCCAAAGGGCAGAAGTAGCAGGCAGGGGCATCCACCAAGCAAGCTCCCTTTGTTCTGGATATCAGTCATGCTAGTTCCCACCCACCGAACCACTCTTCAGTTGACCACCCACATTTAGTTCAGCTTTAAAGACATGACAACAAGGTCCAAGATTCGAGGGATGTACCTGACTCTCTCTCCCCTCCAGTGGTGGTGGAATCTGATCAGCAAAACCAATCTTCCCTGGATCACCTATAAAGGCACTAACCTCATCCACGTTCTCAAAAGCGTTGATGACATCATATGGCAAACAGGACAGGAGGTCAATCACAAACCACGTCTTCAGGTAGTTCATGCGGATGAGTTTGGGGTCAGAAATGACCTCCCCTGCTGGCCCAACAAAGGTGGTATGAAAATTCAGGACAATGTCCACCAAAAAGATGACATCCACAATGCTGTCCACAACCAGCCATGCCACATTGTTCTGCCTGGTTTTAAAGGAGACATTGTAAGGGACCAAGATGGCTGTGTAGAAGGTCAAGATCAAGATGATCCAATCCCACGTGGTCTTAAAAACACAGTAATGTAAGATGATGTGAGGAGGAGTCTTCGGCGCCTCTTGCTTATACTGGGGAAGGATGTCTGAGCCCAGCTGCAGGACCTGTTCAGAAAAACATGGCCAGGAGATAACAAAGTTAGAATTTAATTGCAAGCATCTAATGAGTCAACATTGGAAATTGACATGATACTCCAGACTGGTCATTAGGTACAATCACAGGTACTGGAGGCAGGTGGAAGAATGGAAGTAAACATTGTAATAGAAATAATAATAATACTGAAACAAACTGCTATTTAGCTTTCCATGAACCCAGCAGTGTACTCAATAGTCCACGTGAATTTATTATCTCCGTTAAATCTAAATACAACCTGGTATTTTCGGCTACTTGTTAATTTATATGACAGGCGAGAAACTGAGGTGCAAAGGGAATACAGAAACTTTATTCCACAAATATAGATTGCTCTTTGCCAGAACTATTCCAGACCCTGAAAGTACAGCAATGAAGGAACCCGCACAGCATCTGCTCTTCTGGAGCTCGGTCTAGTAAGCATATCACACCCATCTGACACTGGGATATGAGGGAGAAGCATTTGGTGCAACAGTTACAAAGCCACTTGGGACATCTGCATCCCAAATCATGACACCTGGACTCAAATCCTGGCTCTGCTCCCAACCAACTCCAGCTGTCTGCCTCTGTGCATTCTGGGAGGCAGCAGGTGATGGGTCGAGCACCCGTGTCCCTGTCATCCATGGGAGAGACCTGGAATGGTTCCAGACTCCTCATTCTTGTGGGTAACTGGAGAGTGAACAAAGAGACGCATCTCTGTGTTTCTCTTTCCTCCCTCCCTCCCTCTCTTACTGTCCCCTCTCTCTCTCCCTCTCTTTCTCTCTGTGTTCCTCCCCTTCTCCCTCAAAACAATAAGTACATAAATGAACCAGAAGGGGCTAAATTAGAGGCTAGGGCTGGGGAAGACACAGCGACCTGTCCAAATGTTGCTTGAGGTGTCAGCGGAGGGAGAATGTTTGAAGGAAAGCCTGAATAACAACAAAACACCAGCCACTCAGACTCGTACGGGGAGCACATCAACTGGAGTGATGAGCCCAGGAGGAAGCAAGCTAGATATGTCATACAATTATGATGTTTGGAGGTAGGATATCTGGGAAATTATTATACTGAATTCAGTAATTGTAGATAAATGCAAGATCACTGTAAAATTTATGTGAAAAGGCAAAGGAATTAGAATAGTTAACATAGTTTTGAATCAAAAGAATACATTGGTTCAGACTCATCAAATTGCATATATTGTGCTTGTTAGATTTTCTGGGTATTAATTATACCTTAATAAAATCACCTGAAGGAAAAAAAAGAAAGTAGGAGGAATTCATGTACTAGATTTTAAAAACAATGTGTTACTACGGCAATGAAGACTGCATGATTTTGACAGAACAGATAAACAGATTAATGGAACTCAGCAGAGAATACAGAACTTCAAATGTGCCTGTTACTTGTTAAAGGCTTTTTTTTTAAGGATTTATTTATTATTGGAAAGTCATATATACAGAGAGGAGGAGAGACAGAGAGAAGATCTTCCCTCCGATGATTCACTCCCCAAGTGAAGGCAACGGCGGTGCTATGCTGATCCGAAGGTAGGATCCAGGAACTTCTTCCGGGTATTCCAAAGGAGTGCAGGGTCCCAAGGCTTTGGGCCGTCCTTGACTGCTTTCCCAGGCCACAAGCAGGGAGCTGGATGGGAAGTGGAGCTGCCGGGATTAGAACCGGAGCCCATATGGGACCCCGGCGCGTTCAAGGTGAGGACTTAAGCCGCTAGGCCATGCCGCCAGGCCCTTTAAAGGCTTTTTAAAAAGTTTATTTAAAAGGCAAACTCACAGAAAGAAAAGGAGAGACAGAGAGATTTTGCATCCACTAGTTCACTCCATAATGGTCACAACAGCCAGAGCTGCGCCAGTCAGAAGCTGGGAGCTTCTTCTAGGTCTCTCATGTGGGTGCAGGGGTGCAAACATTTGGCCCTTCCTCTGATGCTTTCCCTGGCACATTAGCAGAGAGCTGGATCAAACTGAGGCAGCCAGATCTCAAACTGGTGCCCATGTGCGAAGCTAGTGCTGCAGCTGACAACTTTACCTGCTATGCCATAGCACTAGCCCCTTCCCAACCGATTTTTAATCAGGGTGCAAAAGCAACATGTGAAAAAAGAATTGATTCTTAAACAAACAGTGCTACAGTAGTAGATACCTATAGGCCAAAAAAAGAACTCCAATCTAAGTCTTACCTTGTATGAAAATTAAAATAGACTGCAACCATGATCTAAAACTCAACGAAGTATGCTTAATACTGACAACAAAAGCCCAATTAATATAAAGAAAAACAAATTGAAGCTGGTGCTACAGTACAGTAGGTTAAGCCTCTGCCTGCAGTACTGGAATCCCATATAGGCACCAGTTTGAGTCCCAGCTGATCCAGCTCCCTGCTGAGGTGCCCAGAAAAGCAGTGGAGGATGGCCAAGTGTTTGAGACCCTGTACCCATGTGGGAGACTGAAGGAAACTCTAGGCTCCTGACTCAGACGGGCCCAATTCTGGTCATTGTAACCATCTGGGAAGCGAACCAGCACATATAAAATCTTTCTGTATGTATATCTTTTTTCTCTCTCTCTCTAAATCTATCTTTCAAATAGAAGCAAATAAATCTTTTTTTAAAAAAAGTTGGATATCGGGCCCTGTGCGGTGGCGCAGTGGTTAAGGTCCTCGCCTTGCACGCCCGGGATCCCATATGGGCGCCGGTTCTATCCCGACAGCCCCGCTTCCCTTCCAGCTCCCTGCCTGTGGCTTGGGAAAGCAGTCGAGGACGGCCCAAGGCTTTGGGACCCTGCACTCCTGTGGGAGACCCGGAAGAGGCTCCTGGCTTCGGATCGGCATAGTATCGGCCGTTGTGCTCACTTGGGGAGTGAATCATCGGACGGAAGATCTTCCTCTCTGTCTCTCCTCTCTGTATATCCGCCTTTCCAAAAAAGGAATAATAAAAATAAATCTTTAAAAAAAAAGTTGGATATCATTGAAATTCAAGTTTGCTTTGCAAAAGGCTCTGAGATGATGCAATGACAAGCCATGACTGCGAGGAAATGTCCACCACCCACAGGCCCAACAAAGAAACAGCATTTAGACTACATGCAGTACGGTATCAAACTTCAAAGCACAACAGCTAAAAAACAATCAAAATGGAAAATAAAGGAGAAAGTATGAACAAACAATTCACCAAAAAAGACACAGATGGCAAAGAAGCACTTGAAAAAAGGTGCTCAATATCATTAGAAAAACGCAAGCTAAAACTGTAAGCAGATACTACTACACATCCACCAGAAGATCTAAAATGAAAACGAGTGACATATTGATGACGATGCAGGAGCACAAAACTGCACAGCCAATCGGAAGAGTTTCAGATTTATTAGCACCTAAATATGCAACTCCCATATGAACCAGCAATTACACTCTTAGACGTTTATCCCAGAAGAATGAAAAACTTAGGTTCCCACAATAACCTATCCATGAATATTTATAACAGCTTTATTCATAATAGCCAAAAACTGGAAACCACCCAAGTATCCCTAAGCAGATGAATGGTTAAACAAACTGGGCCATCTATGCCAGAGGACACCACTCAACAATAAAAGACAAGCGATTGAGAATATGCAACAGCCTCGATAAATCTCCATTGATATTACCTTCTTAAAATGACAAAATCATAGCAGCTGCCAGGGACTATGGAGGGCAGGAAGGATGTGGGTGTGGCTATAAGAAGGAAACACAAGGTTTCCTGTAGTGATGGACATGTTCTCTACCTGGATTGTAGGAGAGTCCATCTCCTAGTGACGGGGCACGTGTCAGGCACAGGGGTTAAGACACAGCTGGGGACACCCTCACATCACATCTAAGGGCCTCATTCCATATTCCTGCTAATGGACACTCCGGGACAACAGAAGGTAACAGCTCCCTGCCACACACACGGGAGAATCAAACTGAGCTCATCCTGGCTCTGTGTGTGTGTGCCTGCCTTTTGAAGCATGTATCCTGGTTCTGATGTTGTAGCACAGTTGGGCAGGAAGCTGTCTCAGGGGAAACTGGACAAAGGGCACCTGGGATCATTTCAGGTTGTTTCTCACAACTCCAGGTGAAGCTATAGTTCCCTCAAATTAAGAAGCTTCATGTGTAAACCAAGTGAATATAGATGAAGTGTGACTAGTAGGAAAATAGGGCCCTGAGCATTCAGCAGGGGGAAGGACAAGGGAGTTATCTGGGAGTTGATTGAATATCTGCAAGACATGGTCTCAGTGACTAAGCTAGAACTCAAAAGAAGCTGCAGGAAGCAGCCACTAGAAGATTACAGACCAAATTTGCCTGCAGCTCCATGGTACTTTAATAAACTCTCCAAGAGAAATGCCCCTTCAGAGAAAATCAGCTGTTCCTATGGCAATTTGATGTTCTCGATAATTATTTCTAAATGAATTTCCCATTTTGTTTCTTTCCAGGATACTCTTGGGCCCTGCATGAGTGAAGCCTACTTCTACAATATCTTGGTACCTCCTAAAAACACCAGGTTGTTCATTAACTCTGCCCCCACTGCAGTTCCTACAACAGACATTTGAAGAGGGAATGGCAGAGGCCCTAGGCTGGAGAGAAGGGGAACCTGTGTTCAAATTCTCTCTTCACATGCCTGGACTGTAGCCTTTCACATTTAAACCACAGGGCATCAGCACCCAAGAAGCAGATTATAAAGTAAGGACATGTGGTCAGGATACATGTGGCACAATTTCTTTCTAGACATTTATGTGAAAAGGCTATAAATGGTTTCTGTAACACCAAGCTTTTACAGTCAGCCTTAAGATCTAATATATTTCACTCTGATATGAGCTCTTTAAAAATGATCACAACATGATGGGAAAAAGACGGAAATTCTACTGAGCAAGTTTTTATTGCAGAAATATCAATAACCATAAGAAAAATGTCCTGACCAAAACACTATTTTGCTTCCAGTTAACTCTGATTTCAATAGTCTTATTAGAGTCCAGTGACAAATGGCTAATTCTCCAGA